GGTAGGGTTGGTGTAGGGCAATAGAATATACGGTTTGTACAGTATAAAAACCATTACGCCTATGGAGAGTCCCCATAAACCATGGAAACACAACATGTGTGTGTGTGTGTGTGTGTGTGTGTGTGTGTGTGAGAGAGAGTGTGTGTGTGTGTGTGTGTGTGTATGTTTGTGTGTCAGATCACGTCAGGAGCGAATCTCCGAACAACTTTCCACTCTGTTTTTCCTCCAGCGTGTTCATGAGTGTACAGTGTGTTCTTCTGTTCGTGTTTGCTGTGAAAATGCAGAAGTGTGGAGTTTATTTTGGTGCTGCAGAAAAGACATTTTACTTTCTCAGGCATTTTGTTCCTGACAATTTCATATATATATATATAATTTAGGGTAGATTTCATGTCCATTGATAATAATTATATGTTTTTTTCTAACACTTTTCCTCAGAAATATACTATTTTCTTCACTAAGAGCATGCATACTATAATCTCACACATATTTTGTGCCCTGTGTTTTTCATTTTGCTTCATGTCCCTTAAATTACAGTTTTTGTGACGTATGCTTTTTAAATCGAAATGAATTTTTTTAAAATCAAGATTATTTATATTAAATGTTTCTATCATCTAAATATAGAGTTTAAATTAAATTTTCCTTCAAATAACACAATATTTAATTTCACTCGTGTGCAAAAAATCTGTTACTAACCAAACACTTTAACACAAACTAAATGATGGTTTATCACAAAGCCATGTGCTGCGCATCATTTCCTTCTGTGGTGAACATTTGCACAAACTGTGGGAAATATCCTCCTATTTTTTTGTATTTCATCTCTATAACCTATTGTCAAGGAGGATATTATTGCCCATTAACTATGTTGGGTACATTGTTATGGTTTGCAATCCGTTTATGGTTTTATCTCTAGCACTCTCTGTTCTAACTCTGTTTTATCTATTTGTTTCATAAAAAAACAACACTTGACCTTCTAACACTTGCACTCTCTATTCTATTTCTATCCTAAGTACTTGTTTTCTTTTTATTTATTATACAAAAGGATCATCTAACACTAGAATTCTCTATTCTTTTGACTTGTTTTATTTTTATTAAAAAAAAAGAGACCCTCTAACACAAGAGTTAATTATTAGAATTATTAGTCAAAATTGTGAAATTGTGAATCAGTCCATACAGTTTGCATTGACACATAGTTGACAATAATACATCATGATGCGTGTGTGTGTGTGTGTGTGTGTGTGTGTTTTCAGGCTCGCAGTAAACAGAATGGGGAATTCGCAGCCATTAAAATCATCAAAATGGAGCCTGGTAAGAGCAGCATTTGACAGACTGACCTGTCTTTAGATCATTTTAATCATGATGTGCCGTTCACAGTCCGTCTGTCTTTCAGAGGATGATTTCTCTGTCATTCAGCAAGAGATCGTGATGGTGAAGAGCTGCAAACACAGAAACATCGTGGCCTATCACGGCAGTTACATCAGGTGAGACACAGGAGAAGACTCTGCTCTCATGATGCATTCAGATCTTTCACTTCCCTTTAAACTATTGTCTGAAAAATTGTAACACATTTGAATTTGTTCGTCCACTAGATGCAAAATATCTCATTTAGCCAATAAATTACTACTAATAATAAAATAACACATTTTCCAGGTAGCAACACAATAAATATGATTGAATATATATGATGTATAAATTGTACATTCTTTGTTACAAATGCATAATTTCAAATTGTTTGTTTTTGTCAGTATTTCAGTAGCTTCTTTTTTTACTTGAATGATACTCCACAACAAATTTTCTTTGACACTGAATTTTAGTATTTTTATGCTTAAATTATGAAAAGATCCTTCACAGGTTGGACAAAATGACTCTGTTCTGAACTGAGTTTTGATTGGATATAATATGTAAAACGTTACTGAATAAGTTTAAATCCTCATGAATTGTGACAATCAAGCAAATGTATAAAGATGAGACATGACAACACAACAAGAAAAGATCAAATAGAGTCAGCAAAACAATAATGCTGTTACAGTAACTGTATTGTATGTCATGTATGCTGGGAAATCACAAACTCAGTGTTGCTCAACATGAAATTCTTAGTTCAGTCATCTGTGTTTGAGTAATTAGGAAAACATTCGGGGGAATCTGTTTATGTAGTGTCATGGAATTCACATTTCTTTTATTACTTTTTTGACCTGTAATCATGAAAATATATAGCTGCTATTGTTACTAACTCGATCTGTATTAATACATTAATCTAGTGTTGTTCAGCATCAGTTCTCATTGTCTGTCACTGAAATCAGAATCAAACTTGGATGAGTCTCATATCTGGAAAAACAAGAGCTTGAGAACAAGTTTGACTGTGTGTGTGTGTGTGTGTGTGTGTGTGTGTGTGTGTGTGTGTGTGTGTGTGTGTGTGTGTGTGTGTGTGTGTGTGTGTGTGTGTGTGTGTGTGTGTGTGTGTGTGTGTGTGTGTGTGTGTGTGTGTGTGTGTGTGTGTGTGTGTGTGTGTTGCAGGATGAATAAACTGTGGATCTGCATGGAGTACTGCGGTGGAGGATCTCTGCAGGACATTTACCACGGTAAACAGGGGTTTCCTGTTTTGCACAAAAGTGACGTGTCATAAAAATATCTTCAGCCTCTCAAAGCCTTTGGGTCTCTAAAAACAGCCCTGAACGCTGCGTGGGACGAGATGATATAATGGAACATGATTTAAATGTTGCTTGGAAAAATGTTTAATTCTGTCAGAATACAGAGCTTTCAGTGGAGAAAGATGCTTTTGCATCCAGATGGTGTAATTTTGAGATTAATTGATTGATTCATTTATTCATTCATTCACTCTAAAAAATGCTGGGTTGTTTCAATCCAAACTTTGGGTTCAAAATTTATAATTTTTAGATTATAATCTAACTTTTCTAAACTCCCTTCATTCTAATTTTTAATTGTAATTATTTTATTTATCATTTATTTTTTATTTATTATTAATTAATTTATTTTAATCTAACTTTTCTAAACTATCTTCATTCTATTTTTTTATTTTAAAAAATAGTTAATATTTAATATTTATTTAATATCTATCTATTTATCTATCTATCTAATCTATCTATCTATCTATCTATCTTATTTTGAAATTTTATTTTAATATCGTTATTTATTTTTACATTTTTTTATACTGTTTTCCCCAAAACTCCCTTCAATAAGTATTCCGAGGCCTTTCTATCTAGGCTGATATTTGTCTCTGGTACTTGTAATTAAAGTACATAAATAAATATATGACACAGTTTCCAGTGTTTCTCTGTAGTGTAGCCTCAAACATGGTCAGGTTGAGTAGTTTTTGAGTGTCCTGCTGTCTGATTGTGATTGTGATGTGTCTCTGTGTGTCAGTGACCGGTCCTCTGTCAGAGCAGCAGATCGCTTACGTCTGTCGAGAGATGCTGCAGGTGACAGACTCTTCATGTTCAAATACACACAATTATAACACAACACACTTCTTCTATGAGACACATGCTCTCTCTGTCTGTCAGGGTCTTGATTATCTTCACGGACAGAAGAAGATCCACAGAGACATCAAGGTAAAGTCACACACGTCACCAGACAGCCGTCTCCATCAGCGAGCCATTCAGTCAGTTACTCTGAGTTTGTGTTTTCCAGGGTGCAAATATTCTTCTGAATGATCATGGAGAAGTCAAACTGGGTTCGTAGAACAACTGAAGACCATTAAACCTGTCTCACTACATCTGGCTGTGTGTCTAACACTCCTCTGTCTCTTTCTCTCTGTTTCCAGCCGACTTTGGCATCTCGGCACAAATCACAGCCACGTTTGCCCGTCGAATGTCGTTCATTGGGACGCCGTATTGGTGAGATGAACCTGATGATCGGTTCATTTTAGGCTTGTTTCAGAGTTCTGACTATAGCCACACTTCAGCTTACAAGAATGTTCTCAGAACGCTCTACTACCATTTCCATCAAGTTATGAAAACTTTCTATGAACATTCAAAATGTCAGGTATTTTAAATATTTGAAAAATGTGTTTCCCTGGTTTGTAAACATTATGGGAATGTTACATTTGAATGTTTTTTGAACATTCTGAAACATTTAAAAGACGAACATCCAACTAAAATGTTTCAGGAAAAATGTTCCATGAACGACGTATAAATAATATTTTTGTGCTAACATTTGGAGAACATTATTAAAGACCAGATAACTTAGAACAAATGTTCTATTAACGTTACTGGAAGAACGTTCTGAGAATGTTTCCTGTTAGCTGAGACCATCTGCTCCACATTATAGTTTATTCAAACAGTAGGTCATGTCTCGAGCAACACCAAAGCCAAGGGTTCGATTCCCATAGAAAGCTAAAACTGATCAAATGCAAGCTCTGAATGCAGTGTAAGTCGCCAAATGCATGCATGCAAATGCAGCTTGCTAACAGATTGAGTTCCTGATGCCCAGGTTCTGGTTCTGAGCGTGTGTTTGTCTTCAGGATGGCTCCAGAGGTGGCAGCGGTCGAGATCAAGGGTGGATATAATGAGCTGTGTGATATCTGGTCTGTGGGAATCACAGCGATTGAGCTCGCAGAACTACAGCCGCCTCTGTTCGATGTTCATCCTCTCAGGTACACACCAATCGAATCACCATCAAACTGATTTAAAGGAATAGATCACTCAATAATGAACATGTGCTCACTCTCAGGCCATCCAAGATCAGGATGTGTTTGTTTCTTTATCAGATTTGGAGAAATGTGCAAGTGAGCACATTTTCATTACTATTCTAAGCTGCTTTGAAACCATCTGTGCTGTAGAAAGCGCTGTAGAAATCACTGTGACTCGTCTCAGATGAAGACCAACACTGTTTGTTCTCTGGTTTCTCAGAGTTTTGTTCCTGATGTCCAAGAGCGGCTATCAGCCTCCCAAACTCAAAGACAAATCCAAATGGTGAGAGACTGAGATGTTCTTTAGTAAAGCGTCAGAGTCTGAGCTCAAGCTGATCTCTGACTGCTCCTCGTATTTCAGGTCCACCACGTTCTACAACTTTGTGAAGTCCATGCTGGTCAGAAACCCGAAGAAGAGACCCAGCGCTAAAAAGATGCTGACGGTACGTTTGCCAGCCGTGTGTGTTGTGTTAGCACATATGTGGCCCTGCAGCACAAAAGCAGTCTTAAGTCGCTGGGGTATATTTGTAGCAATAGCCAACAATACAT